AAAACAAATTGCACTATATTAATTCTATAAAATTTTATGCAAGTTTTGTGCTCTGAGTTTTTTTACTAACATCAATTTATAATGAGAAACAAATCTTTTAAAATTCAAGTTTGTTTAATTTTGACAGGATAAATTCAATCACTGCTGTATTTCGGTTATGAAAATTTTTGGAAATTTTTTCAGAAACTTCGATTTGTGAAAAAAAAATAAGTTTTTGCAAGAGAACTATTCAACCCATGAAGTATTTCAAGTTTTTTCACAGACTGAATCGCTTTGGTTAAAGTTTTAAATTTAACAAGCAAGCTGTCTTCTAAAAAAGCTGCGCAAGCAACGAAACTTTGAAGTAATTTAGGATATTTCTTTGTCTGAATCGGCTAGCAAAAAAAAAACAGTTTTTCAGAGCTTGGAGGTTGCTGTTTTTAGTTGATTCATTTCAGACTAAAATTAATGTAGAATTGCAAATCTTGAAAAAAATGTGAGCTTGTACTATATAGCCTTGAAGTTGAGACGAGTTCATAGAGTTTGAAAAGACTTCTGGAATATTCAAAAATTAAGAATGATTGAAAATTCTTGAAAATTTTTGCATAAATGCCTCTTCAACAATGATTTCGATAGTTGCTTTGGAAGATTCCTTAATTTTTTGATCCAAGCATTAGTAAACGTCGTGCTCGGTAGAAAAGTTAAATTGTGGCCTCCACAGCGCATTAAGTCTTTCATTTGATGTATAAAACAAGCAAGCCCGTCTCTATCAACGATTTGGCTCGCAAAAAAAACACATCTTGCTTTTATCAAGCTATTCAAGCTATGAAACTAGAAACAATTTGAAGTTAATCTTTATCGGAAATTGGTTTGAAAAATTTTAAATTTAAAAGAACAGTTCGGTCCGCACAAAAATTTCGAGCTTTCAAGTATAAAGCTTTCAAGTTAATTGTTGAACCGATTTGGATGGCAACAACTTTAGACTAATGGATTCACAAAATGCTTAAGTTTTTCTAAGCAAGCTATTCCAGCTATGATTTTGAAAAATACTTCTAATAATTTCATGAAGGGTTTTAGGTTTTTTTAGCCATTATTCAACCAGTAAAATTTTGATTTAGAAAGTTCAACTTATTTCACAGACTGAATCGGCACGCAAAAAATTTTTGTTTTGTAAAACAAGCTAATCCAACTATAAAACTTTGAAAAATATTTAAAGTTGTTCATAAGACCGAATCTATCAGCAAAAATTTCAAGTTTTCTAAGCATGCAAGCGCAACGATGAAAATTTGAAATACTCGAAGTCATTTAATAGAGCAAATAAATTCTCAAACTGTGTAAGTTTTTCTAAGCAAGTTATTCCAGCTATGAGTTTTTAAAATATTCCAATTTTTTTAAGCTATTTTTCAACAAAAAAAAATATTGATTTTAAAAAATCTTCATTCATAGACTGAATCGGTTCGCAAAAAAGTTAATGTTTTCTTAAGCAAGCTATTCCCGCTATGAAACTTTGAAATATTTCAAATTATTTATTAGACAGAATCAGTTATCAAAAAATTGAAATTTTCCAGGCAGGCTAGTCAAGCGATGAAAATTTGAAAAATTCGACGTCGTTCATATGCAAAAAAAAGTCTCGAAAAAATTAAGTTTTTTCAAAGCAAGCTTTTGAAACTATGTCACTTTGAAACATTTAAAGTTAAATCATATCGCGAATCGTTTTGCTCAGGAATGATTTTTCTAATGTTGGAGGTTGATGTTTGTAATTGATTTCAATCAGACTAAAATATACTGAAAACGCATAATGTTGTACAAAAATTAGGCAGGTACTGTCTAGTCTTGAAATTGAATCGAATTCAACTTGTTGAAAACTTAAGAATGATTGAAATTTCAAGAAAGGTCTTCCCTTAAAGCCGCTTAAACGTTGAGCTCGATGGTTGCTCTGAGCGATCTTTAAATGTTCTGATCTAAGCCTTCTTAAGCGTTGTACTCTACAGAAAAATTAAAACCTTACATCCATAGCGCATTAAGACTTTCATTTAACATATAAAATGTATAAGATGTGTCTCGCAGATTCACTCTGAGTGAAAATAAATAGGAATGTGTCCTATTTGCAATTGCTGCGATGAAAGCTAGCTCAAAATCAAAAGCAATGAAGACAGTTAACAACGTTCAACATAAATTGACATTAGCAATAGAATTAACTTAAGCTTATAAAGAAATTTCTGCCACCAGCATGAAAGATCTGTTACCTTGCTTTGATCGATTTAATTGTAAACATTTTGAAAAAATCAAGCGTTTATCAGGAAACTTTTTTCATTCTAATTATGACAAAAAAAAAGAGAAAACTCTCTGAAAAAAAGTTTTGGAGTTTTTTCTAATAATTTTGAAGTTGAACATTCTGTAATGTTTTAACAATTTTTTTTTTTGTTAAGGTTTTCTTTCAGGAGAAAATGGATATAAATTAAGCGTCGTGTGGAAAATTGAGTTGTAAGAAGAAGGCAGTGGTTAAGCTATGATTGCCACATAAAAATTTCTCGTCGCGCTTTATTCATCAGTTTTTTATTTACCACTGTAGCCAATTTCAAATAACTTGCAAAGTTTTATCTCAATTCTTTTCTCCCACGAAGTGCTTCGCAACGATACGATAGCACGCACAACAAGGTGATATTTGGAAATTTATTTTCAGTCTTTCATCAAAACCAGTTTTCAGCTGAAAAATCTGAAAAGAGCAAGTACCATGTTTCATTGATTCGCAATTTTAACTTTTATCGATGCCATTTTGGAACTACTATGGCAATCATATAAAAATTTTAATTGAACTTATTGTTTTTTTCTAAATATCTTATCTAGTTTTTGTTTTTCCGGCAAGATAACTTAAAATAGCAGTAAGGAGCCATGATGCAGGGTTTTGGGTATCTCGATTGAGGTTTTCATACGGTGTCATTTGTAGTATATCAACGGCCTATTAGTCGTGATTTCGATTGCAAAAAAATGGTCTCAGTGTCCAGAGAAAGCAGTCTGATGGAGAAAACGGACTTAAAAAGATTGCTTGATGTTCTCGAGAGACGCTATAAAATGTCATTTTATCATACTTCTTGTCAAAAAAAACGGCGAAAAAATAATTTGCAGTGATAACTGTGGTCAGAACTTGGGGTGCTAGTTGCACAGCAATCGGCTAATCCTGTTTTAGCAGAAGATTAGTCACTTATATCTTGTTTTCAAATTTTAAAGGGTTAATTTCCGGTTTGCATGTTGAGTAGTATAAAAAAAGAAAAAACCGGAAAGTACATGAAAGTCACGTGGAGTTCGTCGCCGGTCGATAAGAGGCAATTTTAGCTAAATGACTAACGAGTCAGCGAAAAATTTCCACTCGTCTGCAAAGAGTGAGTTGAAAAGCTCGCACTGTTTCCTTTCGTTGATAAACGCGCTGTTAGACATTATATAAATGACTCGGACAAACAGAAAAATTAAGGGGAAGTGCTTCATTGAGGACACTTACCTACGAAGTTTGCAGTTTTAGTCTACCACAACGGCTATTTAAAAAAAACAATCGCTGCTTGCTTCAACTTTCATTCAAAATAGCAAAATAACTAGCTCACTTGACCAGTTATTACTCTGCTTGTGGTTCAATTTTACATCGGTTTTATAAAAAATATATTGAAGAGACGAAACTTTTGAAAGTTTGCAAATCAAGTAAATTATTGTTCCGACCATTTGATCTGTTGTAGTTTTTTGTTTGACAATTATTGATTGTTAATTTTAATTTCATTGGAATAATTTAAAATCTGGAGATTTTAAATGCTTTTTTTAGAATCAAAAACTTGAAACTTAAAAAAAAATCTGCAAAAAGTATTGAAAAAATTTTTTGAAGTGTTTGTTGATTTTCTTATGATTTGTTTTTGGTTTTTTTGTCATTTATCTCGTGATTTTTAGTCGTAATTTGAACGACATTAACTCTTTTCAGGCGTGATTTGAATAACCATTAAGTCTTTTCAGTCGTGACTGGAACGAAATTTATAAGTTTTGTAATTTTTTTCCCAGTTTCGTGAAAAACCGGTTTGAATTTTTCGATTTTTCGTCTAATTTCGAGCTGGTAAAGGATCAAGCACACATATTCATGATTAATATAATCCCTTTACAATTGTTTATGGTTGCTTAATTTTAATTTCACTGGACTAAATTATTTTTCGGAGAAATTAAAAGCCATTTTGGGAATTCTGCAAAAAAAATTTATAAAGTTTTGAATTTTTTGTTTTTGTTATGAGTTTTTGGTTTCTAGTCATTTGTCTTCAGAATCTGTTAACTAGTTTGTCCGTATGACCGTCGAATGTGACTAAATTACACTTTTATAACAGATCGTTTTATCACACCACGCACAAAAAAACTACTATAATTTGAAAAACAAAATGTGGAAAAACAAAAACTCTTAAAGACTATGGTCAGAACAACCGGTGCTACTTGCACATTAACCGGCTAACTTTTTTGTTATACATGTAAAATTAGCTACCACAATTAATCATGGGACAGAGATGAGTGAAGTCTCATTTTAGAGCTCTTTTAGTGGTGATTCAAACATTAAAATTAAAAAAAAAAACAATCCCAGTATTGATTTTTCGTCTAATTTCGAGTGAGCGAGTAGGCTAACAAAAGTTTATTTAACAACCTAAAATCTTACAATAGCTTACAGTCGCAAAAGTTAGTTTCATTCGACTAAAGATAGTTTTTTTTCGTATTTTTTGGCGCTTTTTTGAAACGAATACGTCAAAAATTCAAAAATCTGCAAAAACGTTTCTCCTCAATTTTCTGCAGAAATTTTTTCCAATTTGCTTTTTTTACTATGATTGTCAAATATGCCTAATTTTTGTTTTGGCTCAGATCCTTTTATCACACCACGCAGAAAAAAAACTACTTTAATTTGAAAAACAAAATGTGGAAAAACAAAAACTCTGGTCGGAACTTACTGTGCTACTTGCACAGCAGCCAGCTTCGTTGTGTCATTTTGATTTTGTTTTGCTTGTAAATAGGTTTGAATCCCTTTCGATCCGATCACACCTCGGGGCTACTTTCACAATATCAGACGAGAAGTGTGTCCTGTCTTCTTCATCATCTTTTTCTGCTGCTGCTGCACCTTCATATCAAGACTCCTCCTCTCTCAACCCCACCACAACAGCTACCTCCACCCTCTCCTTCTTCCACTACTCCTCCCCCTGTGAGAGTGACTCACTGTGCCAGGTGGACTCGGATGACCCGGCAGCCACCAGTTGTGTCTGCAGAAGGGGGTTCACAGGGCAACTCTGCCAACAGTCGGGTGAGTCACACAAGAATAAAACACGGGCTATTTGGCCCGTACTTCATACCCTATTTTTCCATTTGTTGCTAATTTTCCCATCTTGTTATCATCATTTTCAAATAGACTTTCCTCGAGCTCTAGTTCAAAACTCTAAAATCAGAAGAACCCAATTTGCTGAAAGTTCCAACGGCAAGTTAGTCTGTTTTTCCTACTTTTTCGAAGATTTTCATATGAATCCTTTTGTATGAGTCTTTTGGGTCGTGGAGGGGTCGAATTCCTTGTAAAAGAGATCGGTACAACTTAAGCGGTAATTGATCACCTTGTCAGCAAATATCGCAGCTGATGATGATCCCAATCATTAACTTTTATATCAACAATTGAGTCAAAATTATATTAAGTTGAAAAGTATAAAAACAAAATTATTTTATGCTCAAAAACATTTTTCCGAAGAAACCTTAGTTGATCACAACTTCAGAGCAAGTAGACAGCCGACCAGCTGTAAGTTTTTTACGAGGCTTCCGTGACCACCAAAATCGTCTAGCTTTAAAGGTAAACTTTTTTGGTAAATAACCTCTTAAGTTTCTAGAGTTCAATCGAAAAAAGTACAGAACTGCAGAAGCTTCGCAAACAGTGGTAACCTCGAAGAAATATAATTTAAAAAAACGTAAATGTATGTTTTCCAGCCCTTAATTTGGTTTTGAAAATATAGGTGAGAAACTTTGGCTTGTAAGACAGTTTGTAACGTTTATTTTAATTCACTCATTTATATTGTCAGAAAGCTTTGACAATTTCGCTTATAAAATTCATAGGTTGCTAATATTACAGTTATTCGAATATTCGTTTTCGAATATCAACTTCGAACCCTCACCTTTTAATAAAAAAAGAAAAATTTGTAGGAGAAATTTGTATAACTTTTCTTTCACTTCTCTGACCACCGAAGACAAAAAGAAACAAGGGAGCCGGTTGTTGTTCAAAATTAGCACAAAATGTGCCGACCATTTTCATTAAAATACTACAAAAGTGTGTTTTTTTTCTTTTTAGTGTCGTTTTTTCTCCAAAATGGGATGAGAAAGTTAAAGTTGTTTGCTCATTCCATTAAAATTGCGTTAATTTTTAACCAAAATCTGAATAATAGAGCGGGTTTGCCATTCTCTAATCCATTCTAGCGCATCCCGACAAAAGCGAGACTGTCTTGTTATCAATTTGTTACTGAACGAATCAAGGTATTGCGTTTAGTACTTTTTCCGATAGTGTGCAAGGAAAAGACTCTGAATTAGGATTAAAAGTTAAACTAAATAGTTCAACAAGCAAATCAAAAATTTTACACAATTTACACTGGATAACCCCAACTAGATAATTCACTAAAAATAATTAAACACTTGTTCGATTTTTTTTTTCATTTGAAGCGCTTTCACTTGCAAACGTTTTTTGCAAGCTGCTCACAAATTTCGACATTTTATATTGAGCTACGCCGATATATCAAGAGATTTCAAAAGTTTATTCTTCGGCATCATTTGTTCTCCTATGAAGCACACTTACGACCGCATTTCACTGGTTGCAGATAGAGGGTGCTTTTTATAGAGGAATAAAATAGAGGAATAAATTTAACGGTTTGACAGGATGCTTTTTAGATACAGAGAGCCAATAAATACAGAGAAACCATTAAGAAATTTTTCTTTTGCCAGGTTCTAAACGGTTTCTGTTGCCTAGGTTCTGAAGTTTCTTAACAATCATATCATGGGATTTGCCGAATTTATAAAGTTTTAAAATTGCGAAAAAAATTTTTAGGGCTAACTTTAATTGTTGATACGTTTCGTAGGTCTTGTGGGACACAATTTTTTGGTTGTTCATTTGGTATTTTTTTATGGATTGATAGAAAAGCAGCTTGCTCAAAATCAAATAAAATTTGTTTCAGGCGCTAAATCAGTAAGAGCCTTGTAAGTCCGAATGTCGGTCTGTTAGTTTTTGTTGGGGAGAATGGAGTATATGAAAGAAGTATTAAATATGGCTGATAGGTTTTTTTTGGGATTATTTTCAAGCTTAAATCGACCAACCAGAAAATTGATGTTTCAAAACTCTCAGCACATTGGTGTCATCTCACAAAAAATTTGCTCGTGTTTGTAAGACCTACTGTCACATTGATCAATTTTTTTTCCAGCAACGGGGATGGGTAGCGTTTTTAAATCTAGATGTTTCCGTGTGCGTGCGGCCGTTCTTATGAATTTGCACTTAAATGGTATTGCAAACTCATTGGCCATATAATTGGGTAGTGGCAAAACTATACTGACTTTTAAGACAGTTGTTGCAAGTCTTTCGCTGTGATCTTTCATTTTTTCATATTGTTTCGGCCATTTTGTTTTTCAGGAAAGTGATACAATTAAGTTCTCCACGCATCTCGACAAACCCTGAGTTTTTTTGGTACAAGCTCGGTAAATATGTGTTTGAAAAGAACCAGTTTTTTGCATTTTTTTTGCTTGAATCAAAACTCATGACCCGATGCTAAAAACTGGCCTCTTTTTTGAGCAACTGTGAATTCGAAAGACTACTCAAATCTAACTTATGAGTGCTTTCGCTTATTTATGACTTGAAAACAGGTTAACAGCCTAAGTCTCTTCTTTTTTCAAACAAAACTTCAAATTGTTATGAAGTAGCACAGGCAGGTTTTTTTAGCAATCCTTTTGGATTATCAAAATCATATTAACTAAAATTACTCGGACACTTGTCTATAAAATTCTTGATTTTGTAAAAGCAGTCATTTTTGGCACAGCCTTAATTTTGTTCTTAAAATATCAAACTGGAATTATTTTGTTGAGTTGCTATTGTAAAATAATGAAATGATGAAGTACTAAAATGGCTGTTTTTAGGTTTTAGGACGCCGCTGAAATTTATTACAAACCAAATTATCTAAGCAATTGGGTTGTCGTCATCTATATTTTATACTTTAAAGCGTCTGAACAAAACATTTTCATATTGAATCCCTTTTTATTTTTGTCAATACAGTTACTTTGTTAAAAGTTTTTTTAGTCTAAATCCAAAATAACAGCAAGACTTAAAACAATTTTTTTTTTGAAATTCTGGATCTAAAAGAGTTTTGCAAAAAGATATTTGCAAAAAGATATTAGTACTCTTAAGATATTAGTACTCTTTTTCCAATCTTTTTTTGTTCCTCTTCTATATCCTACAAAAAACGGTAACATGTGACCAGACAAACAAAACAAAAGATTAATTGGTATGTATAGCTTTCGCAACCAACCAACCGGAGATGAAACTCTTTTTTGCGGCTGCCAACAAAACTTTAACCATACTTAACATCCACCTTTGAAATTAAACGGTCATTTATATTTTTAACTTTGTGTGGGTGTTTGAATAAATTCACAGAGCTTTGAAATTAGTTTTTGAAGACTATTAATTGGTTAGACTGATTACCAGTAGGAAAAAAAAACGTTAGATTGAATTAGACGTAAGACAAACGGTTTCAGGATGTTTTTAAGAGGTGGGTGATAGGGTTAGGCCAGCAGAAGTACAAAGGAAAACTACCAAATAAATCAGCCAAACAGCCTTACAGTAATAAAAGTGTGTGTTTACCACTGGTAACTATCGTATCTAACTAAGATTAAAACAGAATAAAAAGTAATGTGTGAATTAAAACTGACTGTAGTCTAAAAAGACCAACTAGTGACTCGAAGTCCAAAGGACTTAGTAGAGTGAACATTAACTGGTACTTGATTAGACAATAGAGGTCAAGGTTATAACATACTAAAATACTAAATCACAACATTCCCCACTGCGCAAAAATTAATATCTGCCTGCTCGTCGATGTAGCCAACATCGCACATATACTCCATCTCCCCTCGCTCCACCAGGGCCAAAGTTGAAACAAAAAGTAACCGTGTTCAGCAGCAATGGAATTATGCAGGGAGTACAGATTACAATGGAGGTGATTATGTGGTAATTTATACAAGCTACTTACAGGTTTACACAGACATCAACACTGAATGTACAAAATGATATGTACAACTGAGGTTATGTAGCATTTATACAGTTAAGGCAAACTAACTAAATCACTAACTAAATTAAAATTGTGTATTTTGGACCAATGGATAAAAGCTCGAGCAAATAAGAAGGATAAAATATTACCAGAGTTTAAAAGTTTTCGGAGTTTACGTTCGTGGCGTTATATCTATCATGAAGGCTATTGACCTCCCTCCTTACATCAGCGTCAATTCCCGAAGATATGTCGCTGCCGTCATCATCCTAAGTATTAATAGCAACTTCTACCAATAGAGATGGTATACATGCGACCTTTGTTGTTCGAGAGGAGGGTGTTGAGAAGGGGCCTTGTGTGGTTTCCGCCACCAGTGTTGTGTGCCGTGGTATATCTTCAATTGGTGTCAAGTAAGTCATTTTAGTTCGTGGACTCTTTTCGCTGGAGAACGTAATTAGAAGTTCGTCATCGGAGTCTACAGCAGTGTTGTTCTCCGTTCCAAGCGTCACTTGATCGATAAAACGACTGTCTCCGTAAAATTTAGGGGGACCTGGGTTCCGTCTTGAGTGGGGTTTGATAGATATTGGAGTTTTTGATGTCTCCACTGTCTTCTCCGGAGAGCTGTCCAATCTAATTGGGTCATCGCTTGTGCCCGTTGGGATAGTTATCGTTGTCTGAGTGTTCGTTTGGCTTTGTACGGTACTTCTTGGCTGATCTAAATCACTGTGTAAATTAACAGTCGGTGTATTACATACAGTTTCCGCTTCCGTACCCAAGTAGTCGTCGATAACTTTATCCCAAAGGTCCAACTCTAACAATGAATCTAAACTATTAAAGGCGAACTTTGAACCTTTTGTGCTCGGGGTGTTGGTTCTCCTCCTTTTATTTGTCTTTCCTGCCGTTGGTGTGTAACTCGTTAAAGAGCCTCCTACACTTGAATCTGGTCTCTTCGAGGGAGAATTTCTTTTTCGCTTGCCTGCTAAATCATTTTTATTAATTAGCGAATTCGGTATTGCCGAAAACGTCGTGAGGGCTGACGGTTGGATTTTGTTAAAAGCTAAGTCAGATTTTCTGATCACATGTCCGTTGTCTAATGTAACCGTATGCTTCGTGTCTGACAGAGGCTTACCCCCAAGTGGTTTAAAGTAAGGTTCGCCTTCCCTCCTGTTAACTGTCCTCCTAAACCAGTTACCTCCTTGGCTGAAAGGGTTTGCCAGTGGTGCTCGCTGGAGGTTTCTGTCTGCTTTGTCCGCAGGGTCGCTCTCGTACCCCCTTTCGTCCATTGCTCTGTTTTCCAGATAGCCATCTTCAAACGCGTCGTCAGCTCCCCAGTCTTGTACTCTATCCTTTGATAGGATTAACTTTCCCTTATCTAAACTAATCGCGTGAGAGACCAAAGATTTCCAGAAGGTGTTGGGAGATCTATTAAAATGTTTTGAGAAAGGAGAGCATCCAATGGATGATTGTTTCGTCGAACGAATATTCCAAATGATTTTATCAATAGCTGTATTTAAAGATGGTTTTGGATCGTTGAACGACATTGCCAGTAGCTTAGCTTTAACAGTGTAAACGAGTCTTTCTACTACTCCGTTGGATCTATGATCCCCAACCGTACATAGGATTAATTTAATTATGTTCTTCTCGCAGAAGCTTCTAAAATCGAAAGAAGTAAAACATGACCCATGTTCGGCTCTAATAGACTTTGGAAATCCGTGAAGATGGCAATTATCTTTCAATGAAAGTTAAAATTGAAGAAGCCGAGGTGTTGTTCACTGTTTTTGCTGACGGGAACTTTGAGAAGCGATCGATGCATAACAAAAGATATTTTGAGTTACCCCAACTTTTGTCCAATGGGCCCGCAAAATCTAAATCTACTTCTTCGTTTGGTTTGGTCAGAATCGGTAATTTCTCCGTATTGTTTGTCTCTAGTAACACTTTTAGGGTTTTACCGGCCATGATGCACTGAATGCAATTTTTTCCGTGATGGTAGATCTCTCTGTATAGGTGCGGCCACCAGATGTTTTCTGCCAAGGATTTCATCCCGAACTGTCCTGGGTGTGTTTCATGAAGAAGTGACAGGAATGGTGATCTTAATGCAGCCGGTACTTTTAATTTGTTATCTTTAAATAACAGTCCTTCTTTAACGTGAATGTCCCTCTGAAAGTTCTTTAGGTAGGCTCCGATTTTATCCAATGGTCTGCTTTCCTCTACCGCCTTCTTTACCTCCTTGAGGATTTTATCTTCGTCCGTCATCAGTTTGATTAGCTTGTTTGAACAATGATCTGTGAGAGATAACGGGGTGTCTGGTAATTTGAGATCTCCTTTGTACTTGGCCAGTAATTTCTTGTGTAAGTCTGACATTGTATCGTTATTAAAGTTCAATAAAATTCCTTTCTTTTCTGCCCTGAGGGAAATTTGTAACAAGTTCACTGATTTAATGAAATCTTCTAACGGTTTTTTCTGATCTGAATTTAACGACTGGTTACGTGATAGTATTGACTGGGCAAGAAAAAATAAAAAGGTTTTATCTGATAAATGAAAACAATTGAAATCAAATTTTGATAAATTTAGTGGAACGCAACCGCTTGTACAGGACTCTGAAGTGAGTGATTGGAATTACAAATTCTAACAGTGTCGTTTACGTAATTCAGAATATTCTAGAAGAACGACCGTTGGATGCTTAGCGATAATTCTTTCTTTCCGCCCATTGGATTATTACAATCAAAATTACTGATCGTATTTACATCCACTGGATTATACAATTCGTTCTTGTTACAATTATTCTTTTTACAATCACTATTTACAGAGAGGTTTTCTACAATCTTTTGTACTGTAGCCACTACAAATTCGCTATCATAGTGTGAGTTTGGGATTTCATCCCGAACTGTCCTGGGTGTGTTTCGTGAAGAAGTGACAGGAATGGTGATCTTAATGCAGCCGGTACTATTAATTTGTAATCTTTAAATAACAGTCCTTCTTTAACGTGAAGAAGGACTGTTAAAGAATAAATCTGGACAATAAATCTGTAAATCCCATTTCGTTTCCCGGTATGTGTTTGATCTTGAAATTAAATGGTAAAAGTCGGTTTACCCAACGGGTTAGTCTGCTGTGCATAGTTTTGTTACTCTGATTTGCATTTAATGCTGATAACAATGCCTTATGGTCCCTTACAATTTCGAATTCAGCACCATACAAGTAATCTTTAAAAAGCTCTGTCGCCCAGACTACTCCCAACAATTCAAGTTCGTTTGTCGAATATTTACTTTCGTGATTATTTCAAAATCGGGAGGCGAATGCTATTGTTACCCAATTCTCCCCATCCCATTGTTCTAGGGTGGCTCCCAGACCGCTATGAGAAGCGTCTGTCTTTAGTCTTGACATCCTTTT